GTTATATGACCTAAATTACTCTCCTGCATACAACATATATCCACATGAGGAAGATAGTACTGATGATCTTCCTTCCCTATGACATGTAGGTTCTATGAAAGGTAGTATCTACAGTTCATAGGAGGTACTTAATTAATAATATGATATGTCATAAAAAGTAAATAACTGCATAAAAAGTTTTCAAGCTGTTAGTTGCTGTTAAAGAAAGTGGTTAGCAACTGTTCTTACAATAATTAGCAGTGATAACCATCTGTGTAGCCCAAAAATAAGAAATTTTAAGGTTCTAAATTATAAAATCATAGTGGTTATAGGTCAGAAAGGAGTCACTCCCATCTAGTACTATGCTCTAAGCTTTGGTTTTCCAAAGTGGGATTTCAGGAAGAAATCGACCTTAGAGCCAGTTGGCCTGTGTTCAAAATTTCACTTAGCAAATCCCTGGTGAGAGAAGCAATCTGCCATGGATCCTGACTGTCCCAACATGTTCTTGCTGGGTACAACAAAAATGCAAAGCCAATACCACTTCATATCAAGGTCATATCTCAGGGTTGCATTTGCAACAGGAACCTATGAAAGTTGAGATAACTGCTTCCCCTGAAGAGCAAGTTTTGCTTAGTTTACTGCAAAATCAGTAAAATTCTCATGTGCAAACACTTATGTAGGGTCACTGCTATGGACTGGATACCGTCTAAGTGTGCCCTTCAAGGGTTCGTGTATTGAGAAACTGTTCCTCAGTCTGACAGTGTTGGGAGGGGGTAGACCTTTAAGAGGTGGAGCTTCACAGGAAGTGAAGTGGGGGGCACCACCCCAGAAAAGATTAAAGTATTGCTGTAGGACCACAGCTACTCCAGAGAGAGCCCTCCCCACCTCTGGCTTCTGGCCTGGAGCTGTGTGGCTCCCTTGCATGTGACCCCTTGCCATTATGATGGCTACAGTGCAGTCCCTGGATTCTCAGCAAGCTGGCTCTGTGCCTTTCAGACTTTCATCCTTGGAAAGTGTGACCTAAAAAAAAACAAAAACAACCTATTTTTCTTTATGAGTTTCTCAGGAGAAGCTATTCATTTATATCAGAAAACAGACTGACATGTTTACCCGTGTTACCCTTGCAGGCTGGGGACCACAGGAAACTGACACAAACTTGAAGCACTGGCTACTTCTGCCATGAGTCCTTCATCTCTGACCAGCACACCAGAAACAGCAAAAGATAAATATATTCATGTGCAAGTTAGGCAAAATACCAAACCTTCACAGTTCTTGACTCTTACTAATTGTTTGATTTGAAGATAGTTTCTTAAGTCTCATTTCTTCATTTGTGAAATGGATTATTAATAACTTCGACATCAAAGGTTCTCTTAAGAATTAAATAAAATAATGTATAAAAAAATACTTAGCAAATCATTCCAGGCACACAGTGAGTACTTAATAAATGCTATCCAACCACTAATGGACTATTTCTAAACTTTCTAAAAGGCTGGTGATAATTATACATGAGTAATACCTCACAGTGCTACATAACTACTTATTTTATTCAATAAAAATACTTCCAAAATAAAGCATAAAATTAGCAAATATTTATACTAAATTATTTAATCCACATAATTAATGTTATTGTGCTCATTTTACAGATAAAGAACTTAGCATAGAAAAATTGAATAATGTGTTCAACATCACCCAGCAAAAAAGAAGATCTGTGATACAAATCCAGTCGATCTGGATCCATGTTTTTAACCATGACACTCTGCAGCGTTTGCATGTGAGACCTGGGAGAACAGGTAAGGGTTCTGGTGATTAAGGAAAAATCTAGGAACTGCTGATCTTAATCTAGGTGAGGAGCCTCCAGGACTCCTCATGGTATATTAGTGGAGGTCAATAGTTAATGATAATTTTACAATCAGAAACTGTCTTTTGTTTTTCATTGAGAAACACGACTAACTTAAAATTTAGCAGAAAGTATTCAACAGGGTTTCGTTTTCTTCACACATCTAGGATAAGCAGATAACTATAGTGATTCCTAATACTACCCAGATATATGTCAACATGCTGCACTCATATCTATAAATATGCATAAACTTGTAATCAATAAATATTAAATGTAAATGACAGGCATAGATATCACAGTATGAAACATGAAATGCTGTGAAATTTCAGCCTAAACAGATAATATCATTATAGCTATGGCTTGAAAGATTTTATGAATGTTTTTTCATTATCATTATTATTAATTTTGTTGCTATTGTTAGCCAGAGCCACAGCAAGCCAGGCAAGCACTCTGCTACAAAGCTACATCTCCAATTCCTTTTAGTTAGAGACGGGGTCTTGCTTAGGTGTCCAGGGTGGCCTCAAACTTGCAATCCTCCCACTTCAACCTTCAGCAGGCTGAAGAAGTGCAATTGTGATTCTGAGTAGTACAACTGCTGTTTTTAAGAGTAATATAAACTTACAAAATAAATAAAATAAACCTAAAAAAACAGAAGAGTATAAAATAGAAAATAAAGTACCATCTGATTGGCATGATACCTTAATTTTATTCCTTGATGTTTGGCAGTGTTCACAGTTTATCTGTCTAGAAATTGTCTACAGTTGTATATTTAACGTTACTTGTTTACATTCATGTGTGTTATGGCTTGTCTTTAGATGGCCCCTCCAAAACCTCATGCAGTCTTAGGTGGGACTTTTTGAGAAGTGGCTGAATCTAGAACGTGGGATTGATTCATGGTGCAATGTTTGGCCTGAGGGTGTGAGTGCTACCAAACTAAGTAGTCTGAATAAAAGAGGCAGAAAGATCCCATGTCAAGGTCCCTTGTTGCTTTTGCTACCATGCTTGTCCTCTGTACTGCCCCCTGCTGTCACTCTGTCTTGGAGCCAGTCAATTATGGACTGAAACCTCTACAGACTGTGAACTAAATAAACCCTCTCCCCTTTAACTTTGGGTGTTGAGTATTCTATCTCAGCAAGGAAAGAAAAGTAAGACAAAGCGTCATTAATCTTGATTGGAATAGGGTGTTCTTGGAAGGGCAATTGGATTGTGAGAAGATTAACATTATCAGCGGATACAGATTGATGAGTTCACACTTGAATGGGCTGTTAGGAGGTGGGTCCTAGTTGGAGGAAGTGCCTCATGGGGGCATGATCTGGGGAACTGTATCTGGTCCCCGGCCCCTACCTCTCTGGCTCTTCCCCACTCTCTGCTTCCTAGATGCCACATGTTAAGCAGCATCTCCTCACTACAGCCTGCCACTGCCTTGGAGCCAACCAACCATAGACTGAGACATCTGAGACTGTCAGTCAAAATAAGCCTTTCCTCCCTTAAATTGCACATGGCAGGTATTTTGCCCCAGCAACAGAAGAGCCAAGTAATGCAGCTTATATCATTATAAATTTGAATATATAAACTACATGACCATTTATTTTAAAGCTTTATATTCTCTTACAAATTTTTAAAACTTTAATATATACTTAACATACATCTTAACATTTATTTCTACATAAAATCTATTTTCCCACATCATTCCTTTCAATTTCCATCACATCATGGCCCCAAGAACAGGCCCCTGACAGTTTCCTTATCCTTTTTCAGGAGGCTTACTCAAATACCCTGATTTTGTATTTTATTACTTCCCATTATACATTTGATGTTAGGCTTGTATTCTTTTATTAGACTGAAGTTTTAAATTGTTAGGTAGTGAAATGTATTCATCTTTTTGCTTATGAGTTTCCAGATTTCATAAAATGCTTAGAAACAACTCAAAATGAAACATACATACATTTATGTGTACATAGATAAAGTGCGGCATATCTATAAATGATAGACAATGATTTCAAGATATATAATATTAAGTATAAATGTGAAGCACCATACAAAATATACAATGACAGGCACAACTACCCATTTGTATGTACATAGATCATCTCTGGAAGTTAAACTGGAGTTATGGGGGAAAATGCGTAAAAGGCAGATTTTCAATTTTCATTCTTCCTATTGAGTTTTTAGTCATTTTATATATTACCTATTCAAACAATCTCTAGATTTATCATCAAGAACTTAAAAACCTACAAATGCTGGTGAGGTTGTAGGGTTTTGGGAAGCCTTCTACATCATTGGTGGATGGTAAACTAGTACAACACTATGAAAAGCATTTCCACACTATGGAAGTTGACGTGAAGATTCCTTAAAAAACAAAAAATAGAAATTCCATTTGACTTGGAATCTTCTTGAAAGAGTTAAAGACATCATATTACACTGACAGATGCATACGCATTGTTATAGCAGTCAGTACAACTCCTAATGGCTAAATCTTGGAAGAGGCCTATATGCTCATCAACAGATGACTGGACAAAGAAAATATGGTACATACATGATGGATTACTACTCAGCCATAAAGAAGGATAAATTTGAATCATTTGTAGAAAAATGAATGCACTTGAGACCATAATGCTAAGTAAAATAGAGCAGACATAGAAGGTTAACTATTGCATAGTTTCATCTGTCATGAGAAAACCAAAGAATAAATAATTTAAAAAGCAAAATGAAAGATTGTAGGTAACAAGGACACAGACATTTTGATGGGAAGGAGACCTAAAAATGGAGGGAGATCTAGGAGGGGAAAGGGAAATAAAGAAGATTAAGAAGCAAATATGTATAGGTAGCAACTCCCTGTGATAAATGTACTCATTGTGCATAGCAAATAACTAATAAAAATAAATACAAGAAAAAAAATTAAAAAGCAGTCTTTATTATGACTGTATACAGTTCTCCTTTTCACTTGAGATGCACGATTTCATTCTTACCATGACACACACTAGAACATTACTGCAAGTAGTAAGAAGGCGGAGATCCAGGTTTGCTCTCTACCAAACAGACAGGCCTCTTGGAATTTTAAACTTAAGACGCAAAGTCTAGGTGGAGGAAAAGAGCGAAGTCTGAACGCCCTCGATTTGCTAGACTGGACGTTATTTCGAAGGAAGGCTACACGTTTTCTAACGTCTTGTTTCTATATTATTACCTTACGTTGGGCCCTCAGGAGAGAGTTGCAGCACACCTCCCAGTCTGAAGCGGCTGCTCCCGAATCCCAAATCAGAGGCGGAGCTAGAAAAGGCGCTGAGACTGGCGCGGTGTACAGGACCTTCAAAGCAGAAGCGTGGCGTTCTGCAGTGGCCCAGCAGCCCCTGAGCCCAAGAGGATTGGAGTCGCCGGTTCAAGGCCGGCCTAGGGGACCGGCCAGAAGACAACCAAACCTGGCCTCCTGCCTGGCTAAGACACTCAGCCCCTGCGGACCAGGCGATTTCTCAAATCCTTGGAAGCGGCTATGGCTCTCGCCAGAGCCTCTGTTGGCGGCCGTATCCTAGCAACGCTCCCGGAGCCGAGGCCTCCAGCCTGGGCGAAGTCTCGAGCTGCTCTTAACCGCGCGGGGAGGAGGAGCCAGTGCCGAGGCTGCTACCTGTTGGGCACCTATCTCAGAAAGACTGCGGCGCCATCCTCTCTCCGAGGCCTGTTACACTGGTAAAAGGGCAGCGCTCTCCCAACCAAACTCTAAACAGCAGTTTAAGCGTACAGTCTTTTCTTTAAATCATAATCGGAGAATACAGGGATACAACTGCGCCCTCTTGATTTTGTTAATTTTAGAACTTGGCTTTTGGCTTCCTGGCAGCCTAAGAACAAAGGGAGACCATAGCTATTTAGTAGTTGCGTTTCTAAGGAGAAACAAAACGTTTTGCTAAAGCACTAAATTGCAAAGGGCCCTCCTTAATAAATTCTTTAAAGTAAGGAAGTTTTAAAAGAAGAACGGGATAGTGTTGGGGAAAAATCAAGTATGTTCCTGTTAAACATGTGGTAACAAACTTCATGTGACTATCTCATAATAGTGCTTATTATTGTTACTCAGCACCTTACACAGATTCCTAATTTAGTCCTTACAAAGATTTTATTAAAGAGGAACTGCTATTAAGTTCCATTTTACTAATGAGAAAACCGACACACAAGTTAAAAAAAGATTAAGCCCAAGCAGTCAGATCCTAAAGCCCGGATTTTAATCCATTATTCTATGCTACTATGTTTAACACCCTACAGTATTTTTTAAAGATGTGGAGTTAACAAAACTAAAGTTTTGTTAAATTTAGTACAAGTCCATTTCCTCATTTACAAGGGACAGGGTCTTCATTTCTTTATGCCATGTTCCTAAAATGGCACTTTCATCTCTCTAAAAACTTCCTGAAGTCCGATGCCATTTTTTCCAATCATCCCATTTTAAAATGCATATTTCTTATTAGAACAATATGGCAAATGTATCATATTTTCAGATAAAAATTGGCTTTGTTTTAGTAATCATTTTAAAAGATGCAAAAGCTAAAATTTTATTCGCTTCTATACTATCAGGAAAAACAAAGGAAAACGGTTACACAGATAACCACTAATATTTGTCTTTCATGGGCAGATCTAGTCTGCAGGTGTTCAGAAAGGCTTTTCCAAATGCTCACTCATATTTCCAAAATCATAACGAATCTTGACTTCTAGTAATTTTTAAAAATCCCATTCATCTTAATTCCTACTTTTCTGGGTCTTATCTTTCATTATCCTCCATTTTAGGGGCAGTAGGAAAACACTAGGGTTAGAAACAAAGACAAGAAATGTCGAGAAGAAAAACAAATCGTAGAGACTTCCAAGTACTTGACAGCATTAAATATGACAATACCCACTCTACTTATATTTCATATAATTTGCTAGCATTTCCCATTTTATTTTCCACCTTAAATTTACTCATTGTCAGGATTTATTGTCCAAAATGTCATCTTTTTCAAGAAACATCTACTTTTATGCATCTCGGCATGTATTTATACAATAATCATTTGTTTGAACTTTCTTATACAGTATTTTTACAAAGATGCCACCTAGTGGCTATATGAAACAGAGCGTTTCAAAGTAGTTCCCTTGTTACTAAGCACCTTGCATAGATTCCTAATTTAGTCCTTACAAAGATTTTATTAAAGTAAAACTGCTATTAGTTCCATTTTACTAATGAGAAAACCAAGACAAAGGTTAAATTTTAAAAATAAAGCAAGATTAAACCGCTTAGGTTAAAACGTAGCATAATATAAATGGATATTAGAAAAAAAAAGTATTTGAGTAAATTATTTAGAAAATTAAGGACCAAAATAAATATGCTTTGGAAATTATCTATGTGGATTAAATTTGGATCTTGTTTGTGAGCTGGGTAACAGAAGTACAGGTCCATAGTCACTTTGCTGACACTTTTTCAATTCATCCTATGGGTTTAATATTCAAAATTTTTCAGTTTGAAAGGAAATATGGGCATATGCTTTAGATTATGCAACAATTCATGAGTTTAGGAATAGACCCCAGAATCAAACACATTACTTCTGCAGCAAAATATTCATATTATAGTGGGATAAAGGCCATAAATATCTTTGTATCAGTTGAGGTCCAGATTCCAAATGAGTTATGAAAAACTTTCCATTTTCAGAGATTTTTGAAATTCAGATAAAAAATTGTGGACTTGCCTTACCTTGAAGGAATCTACCCTCCAGTGAAAGAAAGTAAAATGCAATATTCTGTAATAAATAGTAATATTAATCTTTCAGAAAACCAAATGGGGGATGAATATAATCAAAATATATTATATACATTGAAATTCCCCAAAATGTTAAACTAGGAGGAAAGGTGGGAAAAGGCTCCTGGGGGAATGATTAAAGTCAGTTTTATGCATGTGCAAATCTGCCAAAATGAAACCCATTAATGTGCTTAACAAATATGCACTAATAAAACGTGTAGGAAAAAGCTAAAAAGTTTACCTAAAAACAAATTTTAAAATCATGAGAAATTTTAAAAATCATGCAAAGCTTTTCCTTTACTCATATGTAGCAGCTCATCTATCACAAATTACATTTAAGTGCACCACAAAAAGTTATCTATCATGAACTTAAAGATCGCTTTGAAAATTGTTAGCAATGCATAGCTAAATATCTTTAACATTTGTGTGTGTGTGGTTTCTGTGTGTGAATTTGTCTTTTTCCCATCCCTACCATGTTCATGGAATTGAGCTGATACCATGGAGTCTGGATCTGTTGTATGATTCTTCTGAGCACGCTTTATCAACCCACCTTAGGCATGTACTATGAATGAGGAACAAACTTGTATTTAAGACATAGGGATTTAGGAGTAACCTATGCAAGGTCACTTTTTTTCTCAGTACTTTTCTTCATTATCGAGAGCTTTGGCTTATTACCTCTAAACAGAATTCCAATACATTTCTACAGCCTCCATCCATATTCAGATCTCTTATCATATTAAATATGAAACCTAGAATCTCATAGAACAGTGACTTTTATTGGAGAAAAAAGTGACTTTTATCAGTAACTGCAAACGAGGAAGGAAGGGAGGGAGGAAAGGAGGGAAGAAAAATACAAACTTGTTATATGTTCAGCAACATGGTACATAACCCTAAACCCCAGGGTGTTAGGTTCTGTTCAAATGATAGAACCTGAGAAAAATAAAATAAAAAGCTGACATTAGGTTATATATAAAATGTTTCCTATATGTAGTTTTCTAATGTCTTCCTGACATTGTTGATTTTTCTCTTTGAAAAGGAACACATTCATAGATTACCAGCTTAATTAGCCTCACTTTTCTGACTATACTTAGGATTTGAGACAGGAAGATTGCAAGTTCAAGCTCTACCTGGGAAACTGTCTAAAAAATAAAAAGGGCTGCGGATGTGGCTGTGTGAATACCCTGGGTTCAATCCCAGTACAGGGAGGGGGAAAAATAAGGAAATGCAAAGTCAAAAAAAGATAAGCCCCTCCCCATTCTGAAGAAAAGGCAGGGTCCGAGGGCAATAAAAGGGTACAGTGAATCTTGATGCCCTATGTATAGTTCTATTCAGATGACAAACTACTCCAACTACTCCTCTTATAGGAAGGATGGAAACCTTGAGAGCTAACCATTATTCAGTAGGGTTCAGGACAGTCACAGGGCATACCAAGCATCCTTACAAAGTTATTAATTAGTAAATTACATGGTTCTCCTAAGTAAAAGCCATTTCATCCCAAAGAAAAGAATTTGCAGAAATTTAAATACTCTGAACTCAGTCCAGATGTGGGAAGGAGTATCAACTCCAACTTTTCCTTCTTGAAAATCTGGAGTATAGTGACTGGCCTGAATCAAACCTATAGGGAACCTACAGCAAATTAAAACAAGCTATTCTGAAAATTACTCAAATTAGTATAATAGACCCTTGGCAACACTGAAACTCCATGAACAGAATCGTCTGCAAAAGATGCTTAATCTGGAAGTTTATAAGAAGTAACTGGAAAAAAGATTTGATGGAGTAAAACAATCAGGTATGTGGTGTATTAATTAATGGTCAACTTGAGTAGGAATGCCCAGCTGGGCTGTCAGCAGGGTTCAGGGAGTGAAGGACCACCTAAGGTCTGCTGCTGGAATGGCATAAAAGGAGAACAGGAGGGGAAGATTACATGCTGCTTATTTCCCAGGAGCTTTGTTGGGGCTGAGATGGTTTTCCTGATATGATCTCGGCTGTTCTGGTCCTCAGAGGAACTCATGTCCTTGCCATCACTGGAGATGGCTGCTGTTCCCTTTGTGGGAGTTCTGGTCTTCACCTTTCAGTGTTGTTTCCTGACACCAGTACAGCTCCCTTAGCCTTCTGGCACAGATTCTGCTGGTGCAGACTTTCTAGCTCTCAGCACTGACCCTTGGACCTTTCCAGTGCAGATCTTTGATAGACTTGCGTAGACACTGCCAGGCTCTAGACCACCAGCTGGACTCATGGAGGACACTGCCAAGCGATCCAGGCACTTGGCTGGATTTTTTGGGGTCTCTAGCAGGCAAACTTATCTCTTGGCTTTTTGGGTAAATATTATAGGATAATCCTATAGATTTATGTGTCCTGTACTAAATCTATTTCCTGGCAAACAACAAGGTATAAGGCTTTGTGGGCAGTTAATAAATGCTATAGAATGATAACTAAATTACAATGTCTTTTAAAAAGTATGTACCCTGTAATCTACAACCAATATGAAGGTCTTTGCAAAAAATGACATCGTTTACATCTGTTCATTTTTGTTCACTATAGATACCTTAGTAGAAAAAGTCAAAGAAGCAAGATCTAGGTTTATTGGGTACAATCCCGATAACACAGGCAGGAGTGAGAGCATCCCAAGTACATTACTGAAGAATAACATTCTAGTTAGGAAGAACTCTAGAGCCATACTGTCTAGTTTCACATTTTAGCTCCACGTCTTAACAGCTACTGACCTTGGATGTGCTACTAAACCGTCTCTTTGCCTCGGTTCCTCCAGCTTCCCACATAACGCAGCTGTAAGGCAGAACTACTCAGGTTGGACTCTGGTTCCCTAATCAGAACAATAGAGATAATTTGCAGTATCTCACACTTCGCCTTGTGGAACAGATCTAATAAGCATGTTAAGTACTTAACAGCAGTACCTAGCATTCATGCATGTCTCATAAAACATTGTTTTACGTATTAGCCATTATTCTATTAGCTGTATTACCCTACAATGAGCAGTTCTAACACAAACATCAATAAAGTCTTCTTTTAGCAATAAAGCCATAGTAGCATTGTTGGTGAAACATAAAAGCTTTTCAAAAATCATGAGAAAAATGGAACTGAAAGTAGGACAAAGGCACAGCAAGCCAATTTTGTTTGTTATGCACTCAAAAGACCTAGAAAAAATGACTGGTAGAAAACAGACTTGAAAGCATCCATGTACACATGCTTTAGGATCATATATTTTGACCTTTATAAATACACTAAAGTAAACGTCAGAACTGAAAAAGAAAGTAATAAATTCTACTTGTCTTAAAAAGTAGGAATAGGCCATTTGAAAGGCCACCAACTTGCCTCAACTTCACTGAGTTCATAATGGGGTTAAAATCACAGGAATGAGAAATTCAGGCTTCTGACTTCCCCAACACACCTTCCACTTCCCTTCAAGAATAAGCACTCTTGCTGACTGCTAAGAAGTCAACCCATCTACTTAATATCTATTTTGCATTTATATTATAGCTCAGTGAAATGAGAAACATGCTAGGAAAAAGAATACCATTTTTTCCTCATGATTGTCTACAATGAGATAGACACATAGACACATATACACATCCAAACATACATGCACACACAGTGAAGAAGTGTAAATAATCCAAATCTGGACTAAAATGACATTGATAGTGGACTTGATAGTATACAATTACATGTTTAAATTTTACTTTATACATCATACCACAGGAAAACAGGTTAATTATAATTTAAAATTTAATATGAACTAAGCTGGGGATTTAGTTCAGTGGCACCAAGCCTGCCTCGCAAGTGCAAGGTCCCAAGTTCGATCCCTCGTACAAAAAAAAAAAAAAATTAATGAAACTATTTCTGTCATTTTTCTCACAATTGAACATATTCTTACTACCTTACTTAAACAATAAGTTTGTTCAGAAAAAAATATATTTTCTCTTTTTTTCAGGATAAAGAAATATGCTGAAGATACTACTGAAGCTGTTTCATCTTTTGATTGTAGTCTCTATATTAATCTCTAGGAATTTCCTCATTAACTTTCACACCTTCTCACAACCTTTCTGTTCAAAGAAATACTGAATTTGCAATAATGTGCATGAATACTATACAAACTAAAACCTGATTCACAAGACCCTATTACCACAATCACTAAATTTAAATAACTCAAGTATCCTGTTATCCTTTTTCTTGATTATAAGAAATAACAAACACATTTTTAATATAACAGAACATTTAATGGCAGCAGTTTCCCATCAACCCATCACACAGTAAATGAGGATTATATTGGCCATTTCCACTGGTTGGCAGGAGGCTCTTCCACTAATGGTTCCCATGGTTTCCACTTTATCATCTTCCTTGCCAGACTTAGTTCATTTTCAGCCTATTAATAAAAATTTTTCAAAGATCATTTGACTGTTCAACAGGTATTTCATTGAAATTTAATTATGAGAGCTACTACTTTCATATTACACCTCATCAAATATTGAACATTACATAATTTAGTTACATTAATTGTCACAGGTACACAATCACAGGTGAGGAATGAATATTTTTGGTTTCTCCTATTTGAGGAAGTTTGCTGTAACTTCTAGTTTAGCTGGTGAGTTTTCAATCTTAATTGTGTCTCACAAGTAATTTCAAGATCAGAAGTATGTCTTTTCATCTGTATCAGTGGCTTTCAAACTTTATTTTACCATGGCTCACAGTAAAAAAATACAGTAATCGCCTCCATCCATGGAGATACAAGACCACCAATGGATGACTAGTGAAACCATATATAATACTGAGCCCTATATAATGCTTTTCACATATACAAACAATTAAGATAAAGCATAACTTCTCAATTAGGCATACAGTAAGTCCAGGACTTAAAAATATTCGAGCTGCTAACTTGCACTGATACAAACGGACCTAGCATTATGAACATTCATAGATGGGAACAAATCCTGGAAGTGGTTCATTTGTCTGCTGGACACTAGCACAGTTGTGCTGCTGTGTGCTCACTGTACAATGCAAAATACAGTGCTCATGGAGCCCAAGATGTCTGGAAGCAAGAAGAAAAGCAGAGGTAATGTGGAGGAGACTGCTAGAAAGCTCAAAGCAATATATATTGTATATTTGTGTCAAAGGTGTGTGAGACTCACTTTTTCAGACTTAATAACAAACCCAGCATTCTCTCAGAATGGAATTTGTGCATAAGTCAAGGAGTTACAGTAGTAAGAGACTGCTAACACAACAACTATAATAAAACAATTGCTGTATTAAATAAAATAAAGATTACTTGAACATAAGCTCTATGACATGAGAGTTGGTTTGATAATGGAGATGGCCAACTAATGGGAGGATTATAGGGAACAGAGCAATGGTTTCCACCCCTGGCAGGATGGAGTGGAACAGTGTGAGATTTCATCAAACTGCTCTGAACATGCAATTTTATATTTCTTTCTAGAATTTTTCACTTAATATTTTCAGACCAGGCTTGACTATAGGTAATTGATAAAAAAAGACAAAAAGACAAACCTTAAATAAGAGGGAAATGTTACATCTTTTACTATAGGATCCACAATACACACATATTACTAAAATAAAACTAAAAATCATTATCTTTACTGTGATATTTTATATTGTATCTTCTTAAAAAATTTCAATCACAATCCACTTATTTCATGACCCATAATTATTTGAGATTTAACAGTTTGGAAAACAATTATCTATAGAATTCAGGGTAAAATAACTGGTGCACAGTAAATGTTTATTGACTGAACTGATTTTTCTGCATTATTTATATTTTTATTTAACCTGACATATTAAAATGATAGATGTGTATGGTGTACCATGTGATGTCTCAATACAGATGTCCAGTGTATAATGCTCAATAAGGTTAAGCAAGCCTATCTATCCCCTCAAACATTTACCATTTCTTTGTGGTGAAAACATACAAAACCTTGTTTATTAGCTTTTATTTTTCAACAGAAGTACATTATCATTATCTATAGTCATCCTACTGTGCAACAAAACACAGTTAACTTTTTTTTTTTTTTTTGGAGACAAGGTCTCACGATGTAGTTCAAACTGGCCTTGAACTCACTATGAAACTCAGGTTGGCCTTGAACTCGTAATGATCCTCTTGCCTCAACCTCCCGAAAGCTGGGATTATAGGAATGTACCACTATACCCGGCTAAAAAACAATAACTTAATTGTCCCATTTAACCATAAAAGTAGAATACACTGACCAATCTTTCTGCAGTCCTCTTATTCTCCTACTCTCCAATGTTCATATGAATATAAACTAGAATAGAGCCTAACTGAAACAAATTAAAAATAGAAGTATCACATGATTCAGCAGTCCCACTACTGTGCATATACCCAATGGAAATAAACTACTGTGGGGAAGAGACATCAGTGAATACTATTTGGACAAATGAAAAAAAAGAACTCCTGCCCTTTGTGGCAATGTGGAGATCATTATGTTAAGTGAAGTAAGCCAGGCACAGAAAGAAAACATAACATGATCTTACTCAAATGTGACATCTAAAAAAGTTGATCCCATATTAGTTGAGAATAGAACAGTGGCTACCAGAGTTTGGGGTGAAATAATTACTTAATTAGATAATGCTCCATTTAATTTTTACTTCAAACACAATTTATGATATACCTAACAAATATATTTATATATTTTAGTATTTCACATTTTCCCTACAACAACTGAGGCCAAATTAGAAGATGAACATTACTAAAAAGTTTTCACAGCTGGGGATTTAGCTCAGTGGTTCCAGCATCTGCCTCGCAAGTACAAGGACCTGAGTTCGATCCCCGGTACCAAAAATAAATAAATAAATAAAGGTTTTCAAAATGTCAAGAAAAGGAACTCAAATACAGAAAAAGTGCTTATCAGAGGCTACTGTTCTTCAGTTAAAGGTAAAGCCTCATTTGTGCTAAGGTAAAAAAAAAGCCAATCTAGTAACCAAAATACAAGTGTTGAGTTCAACAGGACACTAGTAGGTATTTGGGGGTAGAGATAATTACTAATGCTGAAATGAGAACATCATTCAGATACTGCTGCTAAGATACTCATAAGAGTGACTATTTCCCTGACTGACTTTCACCCCCAGGTCCCTTCAACATCCATGCTTTCTCTACCTCCCAAGGCAGTGCAGAGGGCAAAGGTATGGGGAGCACTTAGCCCTGAATACCACTGAATGATCACCCCTTCAAGGACCCTAACGCAGCTGCATTTATCTATCCCCTGTGGCCTACTTCCCCTTGACTTCTAGAGGACACTCTATTCTTCTCTCATTCCACTCATACCATCCCTCTAGATATGGGCTGTCCAATAGGCTAGCCAGTACCCACAAGTGCCACTGAGCACTAGAAAGGTAATTAATCCAAATTCAGATATGCTATGAGTGTCAAACACATACCAGATTTCGAAGACTTAGTGTGAAAAAAACGATGTCAAATGTCTCATTATCTTTATAACTGTATGTTTGAATGATATGGAAAAGATATTCTAAACCCTATATTAAGAGGTTGGGAGAAAACAAAATTTAAACAAATAAAAACCTCTACATGTGGGAGAAAAATTAAACTGAAGTCAAAAGGCAAAGAACAGACAAAAGTATGTGCCAACAATTTGGCAAAAGTTTAAGGCTAATATCTTCCAATTAAAAAGCATTCAATGAAATGTATTTAAAAACACTAAGACCAAATAATATAACAAAAACATTAACGATATAGTGTATAAGAAATGAAATATAGGACTATATTTTACAAATACAACCTTATTAGTAACTGAGGGGAAATGGACAATTTTTAAAAAAACAAAACAGTCATCACTTCCCCTGAATAAATCAAAACAGTATTCTTGCCAGCATAGATATATTAAAACTGGTATTTTGAAACACTGCTATGGCACTAAAAATTATGTATTTTAGAAAATAATTAGGTATTATGGTACAGGAATTTAACTCACATTATGTAAGGGATGTTGACTAGTAATTTTACATTGCCCAGACTTAGTAAGACTCAAACTTACTTGGATCCTCCTGCCTCAGTCGCCCCAAATCCTGGGATTATACGCTTGCTCCAAATTTAAAATAAATAATTGTATCTAAAAATGTAACATTACTAAAATAATAGTTAACAACACACTACAAATCTAAGTTAAGGCTACCAAGAACATACTAATTAAACGGAAAGAGAGCAACAAACTCCAGTCTTTTTTTTAAAAAAGCTTCACCAAATTCAAGTTGCAATAATGACACTTACTTTGCCATTGACATGTTATATTTAATCAGTCAATACATAAGTAAATTTAGTTTTCTGTTTTTCCTGAAATATCAGCTTTGTCCCTCTTCATATAAAATTAACATTTGAAGTCAAACATCTAAATGTTGAATTTTTCCTTTACCTGAAGAATCACCTCCTCTATTTGGCCAAGCTGAAGTTGGTCTTCTAATTTTTTAACATTTGATTCCTGTAATTTCAGGAAAAGAAAAAAAATTAAACATAGGAGCACAACATCTGAATGTTTCAATATATTTTATTTTAAAAACTCATACATAAAGCACACTTATAATTTTTCTAGCACCAGAATGTTTTCACCAAACATATGGTAAAGCCATCTCATCTTTCTGCTGCTTTATTATCTTCCTGTCTGAATACTGAAAGCACTACATATTTATTAACATGATTATCAAAAGACACAGAATATCTAATTCAGTCTTTCTAAAGTACATTTTAAAAATTACATTGCTTCTCTTAGTATGTTCCATATTTCCTGAGAACATTAAAAATAAATACTATTCTATGATGTAGAAATTCCTCTTCTGAATATATACTAAACAAACATGAATTCATAGACAAATGATATGATCAAAGAAGTCCACAGCAGCACCAACTGTGGATCCAAACTAGAAAGAAATTACTATGATAGAATGGATTGATAAATTATGGTATTTGCATATAATAGAATACTATACAGCAACAAGAATGAACAAACTACAATCACGCACAGCATAAATGGTTCTCTCAAATATAATATTAAGTGGAAAGAAATTATAGACACAAAAGAGTGCATAATGATTTTATCCCATTTATATAAAATTCAAAAACAGCCAAAATAATGTCACAATAGAGACTAGAATAGCAGTTACAGTTAGAAGCTGTTATGGCAATCATCCAGATGTGCCCCCCCAAAGCCTCATGTGTATGTGGAGCTTTTCAGAGGTGGCTGGATCTAAGATGTGTGATGCTAGGACTGATTCACAATTCGATGCCAGGATAAAGGCTGCCCCACCCTGGACAGAATATAAGGAACAGAAAAAAGAGCTGCTGTCCTAGCTTGCTGCTTGCTGCCTTCTGCCTGCCCTGCTTTGCCCTGGACTGTTTTTCCTCCTTGATGCTCCTCTGCCACACCACCCTGCTTTGGAGCCAGCTGACTATGGACTGAAATCTCTACAAACTGTGATCCAAAATAAATCTTTCCTTCCCTAACTTTAAGTGTTGGGTATTTTGTCTCAACAACAAGAAAAGTAACGAAGACAGGAGTACAGTAAGTTCAAGGGAAACAAGAGAGGTTCTGCTATTCTCAAAATGTCCTATTTTGTCTGGTATTGAGTTTGATCACTTTGTGAAAAATTCATCAAGCTCTACACTTATGATTTCTGTATATTTTTATCTATAATTTCACAAAACATTCTAAATAATAGATATATTACCTAGAACATTCAATAACATTTATTTTCTACTATATTGAGCTTTTTGAGGAACCATGCCTCATGCATACCATACTTATACACACATATGTAAAGAAGAATTTATCAGGGTGACTTTTATGTTCCATTACTACAATAAAAAGAAAAAGACAAGATTTTTTGTTTGTTTGTTTGTTTTCTCATTATAGGAATCAGTACATTTCTGCCTCACAAAATCTACAGAACAGCCCAGGATAGTGATGACAAACCCTTTGGAGTTTTCAATGACACAAACAGCATGCTGCAGAATACATGTCATAGGATGGCCACTACTGGCCTAGGACATCTGCATGGCTTATTCCTTCACTGTCTTTCGAATTTGAGTTCAACTATCACCTTCTTAATGAGGATCACCCATAATTTATGCTGCAGTAGGCTGAACAATGTCCCACAAAATATGTAAGTATTAATCCCTGGTGCCTGCGAATATTATCTTATATGACAAAGACTCTGTGGGTGTAATTAAAGACCTTGAGATGGGGAGATTTTCCTTGGATTGCTCTTGTAGGCAATCTCGTAGGCAAGTGCTCTTATAAAGGCAGCAGAGGAAAATTACACACAGAAAAAAAAAAGTGATCAACCATGTAGGCAGAAATTGGAATGACACAACCACAAACTAAGGAACACCAAAATCTCCAGAACCTAGAAGAAACAAGGAATAATTATAACCCAGAGGCACAGAGAGAACACAGCCCTAACAACATGAATGGGCCCCTGATACCAATTTCTAACTTTTGGCCTCCACAAGTAAAGGACAGTAAATTTCTATTATTTTAAGTCACAAAGTTTATGGTAATTATTATGCAGCTGCAATAAAAAACTAATACATATTATAATATCCTTCATCCCTGTCATTACACAAATAATTATTCCTTGCTTTACTCTTCTTCACTCGGCTTGTTGTCTAGTATACTATGCACTTAATACTTTTTGACTTAGTTTTTGCCTTCCATCATTAACACTCCATTTCCAAAAGACCACAAATTTTATTTTTTTCATTTACCGCCATGTGAGAACAAGCTTCCATGCCTAGATCTACACATGGCATTTAAATTATATAGTAAACATTTCTTGGTTAAATAAATTTTAAAATAATTGAAAAGGAAGAAGGAAGAAAAGAAAATAGATAAGTCTTTCTTTTCAGAAAGACTATTTAGCACAGAATTAATTCAGATATAAAGCCTAAAATCAAAATCCATACAAAGAAGCTGGTCACTGTTTCGAGATCTGAAGAGGTAAAGATGAAGCAAGGAAATTTCAACAATACTTTCAACTTGGGAAAGATCTGCGTCCAGAAAAATAATCCATAATTTTTCTGAGAAAGAATCAACAGTGTAATTTTTCTTTACAATCATATAATGCCATAAAACTTAATAAAGTACTTAATGATTCACTGTCTATTACTTCTGTGAGACTAAGTTAAACTACTTATATATAATACTTCATCCAAATAATATGTGTTCAAGATAGGTATTAGTATACCCAAGTTACAGAAGAAAGTGAGACAAAGTAAATGAGCAATATGCCAACTTATTCAGCAAATATTAGAGCTGAGATAAAAATTTTGGACAAAATACAAACCAATGTTTTTCACCAATATGTTACTCTATCTTCCCAGTAATAATATGAAAAAAAAAATAAATTTACTTTCATTTTCACCTTAGGCTTAGTAAATATATAGATACCTTATAATCACAACAAGATTCACTGAAGATTCTATACTGAGTCAAAAAAATCACTGATAATTTTATCAAAAACAGGAATCAGAAATATAACTTTTATGAAGTGTCTGGGGTTACAACCAATTTGTATCTAGTCTTTTAGATGAACAAGTAATTCTCAGGGACTTCATGTGCCAGGAATTATGCTAGACTCTTAGGATATAAAGATGAATCCAGTATCACTCATAAGCAGCTTAAGATTAGACAGATGAAGTAGCATGAATAAAGTACAGTGTGACAGATAAGACTCTATTCAGGAGATAATAAAAACCTTTACAGAGGAAGTGAAGATTTGAGAACTGAATAAGAATTCTGTGTTAGTCCATCTGTGCTGCTTTAACAAAATACCTGACATTAGGTGATTTATAAAGAAAATTTATTTTCTCATAGTTTTGGAAACATGTAAGTCCAAGATCAAGGCACTAGTAAATTTGTGTCTGGTGAGGACTGCATCCTCAGGAGGGAAGAAACACTACTGTATTCTAACATGGTGGCAATAGAGGGGCAAGAGGAACTAAATTTTGAATGAATCCTCTTTTTTTTTTGGTACCCGGGATCAAACTCAGGTCTTCACACTTGCAAGGCAGGCAACAGAACCAGTGAGCTAAATTCCTGGCCCAATCCTCTTTTATTTATAAGAGCTTCAAGCTCATTTAAGATGGAGAAGCCCTCATGGCCCTATCACCTCTTAAGACTACCACATTGGCCACTAGGTTTCAACCCCTGAATTTGAAAGAGGACATATTCAAACCATAGCAAACTGCCAGACAGACAAGATACAAGAGGCATTCCAGGAAGAGAAAAAGTACAAATTAACAGTATATTAAAACTCCATTGATGCTGGGGATTTGGCTCAATGGTTCTACCACCTGGCTCGCAAGTGCAAGAAGAGCCCATTCAATCCCCGGTACCAAAAAAACAAAACAAAAAAAACTACATTGAATCTACAGAACTTCCACCAGCTTGATATTCCTGAAGTAGACAGTACAACAGGAAATGACAGGTCAGGATGGCAAAGATAACTAAGAGCCAGGCCTTATGTACCATGAATCTTGTCAGGTTTTAATCATGGTTCCCCAAATTGGCTGGTTCTAGATTAAAATCATGTAAAGCTAAGTTTCATACAACAAGCTTGGCACAAGTCCTTAAACTAACCCTCTGAAAAACACTAAAGGAAAACAGTAAGATTTTAAGACAGAAAGTAACATTAAGATTTACTTATTAAACAAATCACTATTATTGGTAGTGTGGCATATAATTATGATGGGACTACAAATAGATCAATTAGAAGGCAACTGAAATAGCAAAGAAAAGGATTTAGGAGCTAAGTGTAGACATATTAACAGTGAACTATCCTGTGAACCTTGGCTATGAGAGGACACAAAGGAATAGTGCAATAAGTAAATAAAAATATAGACATGTAGTTTTTTCTTTTACAATGAGAACAAGCTCTTGAGGCTCCTGAAGATGATGATAAAATGGGAAAGGGGCATAGAATAAATGATTAAAAGTCAACAAAGTTATTGGGAAGGAAAACAGAAAGAAAGGCAGAGTTGAACAAATTCATCTCACGAAAAGAAAAAGTCAAATTTATTCTGAGATTTTTAAATATGTGTTTTATCCTCAAGGAAGACATAAAAATGAAAGAAAGTGAACTTCTTCTTTAGAGACTTTAATCTGTAATTTACTTCCATAATTATCAAGATAAATGTTCTAAATCAAATTGCACTGTTCTGCTGTCTACCTAAGGAGAATGTAAGAACAGGAGTTTGATAATCTAATAAATATAATTAAGATCCTCTGTGCTTATATGAAATACTTCTGCAGTCCATGAACACTATTTTTGATAATTACATAAAGTCTATAAATTTTAGGGTGAAAATGTAACAACAGTGCAATGTAGTTTAGTATGAAAAAAAATCAGTGGTAGTTTACTGTATTCCTGTCTAGTACCTTTCATTCAAAAACTCTAAAATGTTTATAGTAGTTTGTGTGGCTGTAACTGCAAAATACTGTAGACTGGGTGAGAAATTTATTTTCTTATAGCTCTGGAGACTGAAGTCCACAATCACAGTGACAACTAGCTGGTTTCTGGTGAGAGCTCTTCCCCTTAAGTTGCAGACAGCTATCTTCTTGCTGTACGCTCATACAGCCTTTCCATGTTATGTGTGCATGAGGAAAGAGAATGCACATGAGCTGTCTGGTGTCTCCTTGTACAAAGACACCAATCCTAGAGGACCAGGGCCCAACACTTATAACTTCACTAACTTTAATTATTTCCTTATAGGCACCATCTTTAAATAAAGCCATACCTTCAACATATGAATTTCTAGGGGAAACAAACATTTGGTCTTAACATAACAATGCCTGATATAATTTTTGGTCATTTAGAGAAATTAACTTCGTCTTCTTTATGAAGAAAGTACTCTTTGAAAGAAAAATTTTGACAGTTTTATTTAAAAACAAATGAGAAACCCAAAATACAAATAAAGAACAAAACAAAAGACAGATAATAGGAAGTAGAGAGATCTTTCTCAAATGGGAAGGGGATCAAGAAATAGAGGCATTGAAAAGGGAGGGGAAGGGAATGGGATGAAAAAAGAATTAAGATGTGTAATGCAGCAACTCCCCACAGGAATATAATCATTACGTACTGCAAACATGTAGTAAGAAAAACTGAAACAACACATTTTGTTTTATTTTGATTCTTCTCTACACTGTGATTAGAAAAAAAAGAGATTAAGATTGATTATCAACTGGGTGTGGTAGCACAAGACTATCATTCTAGCCACTGCGGATTGTAAAGTCAAGGACAGCATGGGCTACATGGTGAGATCCCGTCTCAAAAAACAAAATAAAAAATCAAGGGGCCAAGAATCGATCTCAGCAGTACTGCCACCTGCCACCTGCCTCACAAGTTCCTGAGTTCAATCCCTGGTACCAAAAAAAAAAAAAAAAAAAAAAAAAAAAAAAAAAAAAAAAATCATAACCAAAAAAACAGGTTTTATTCACTATTGATAACAAGCAAAAGATAATAAAGAACTACACAGGGAAGAGAGGTAAAAGGTACACCTACAATGTTCCTCTGGACAAGAACCTATACTATAGTATTTAATAGTGCTTTGCATACAGAAAGCACTCAGTAAACAGGAGTTTGCTAAATGAGAAAGATAAAAAACAGAAAAAAAGCACTGAATTAAGAGAGTGTATAAAATATGCAAAAGTAAGCAACTAAGTTGTTGTTGTTGTTAAATGTTACCCTGAATATGTAAGCCCAAGGAAACCAAACTGATTTAGTTACTTACTGCTTCCACCACAGCCAGCCTCTCACTTGCAATCTGTTCTGTATATTTTCTATATGCAGCGTTTTTAGGGATTTGACCAAGAACATCAAGAATCTTCGTGTACAATATTTTCAGCCTCTGAAAAGACAAACCATACAAATTTCCATAGGTTAAAATATTACCACAGACAAAAAAATAAATAAATAAAAAGTGATTTACACGATTTTTAAAAACATTTAACTCCTCTCTTACACTTTCTTCATATCTATACCTTATTCTTATCCTTTACATCTTAGAAAAAAATTAAATATATGCAGAAACTCTTTCTGCAGCTTATATATGTAACAAATATATATAACAAAAGTTGTGCAGGTCAAAGGTATAACTATAAGCAGAAATAAAACTAACTTACTAATAATGACCCTTTTCAGAAATCAAATAATTTAGTAAATCAGCATTTCTCAAATCATGGCCCTAGACACTGTAAATTCTTTGTTTTAAATTTTAATTTTTCTTGCTTAAAATTCTGTAGATTTTTTAAGTATATATGTAAATTTTAGATCATCAGGATAATAAAATTTAACTGAATAGTTATATAATCCAGTGCTTTTGCTTGTGATTATAACTGTATGAATAAAAGTTTTACCCGGCACTCAACAACAAAAAAGAAACATGAAAATGAGAATTTAAAAAGTACTGACCAAGAGACTTAATTTGTCTTATTCCTTTTCTAATTTTGCAATGAATACACTGGGATACACCTGTCAGAGCCTTGTGCAGTCCACCTCATATGATGTTTCCATTATTTATGCCCCATAACAAATACATCACAATTACCACCTGTGTTCACTGCAGTTGGTATGCACAGGCACAAAGGAAGAAAGTACAACACAGATAATTTTAACTTCATAAAACCCACTAGTAACATCATTAACAGTCTTTTCTAAATATTTTTAAGAAAACATTTTAAGGGCCAAGGTTTAGCTCAGTGGTTCTGCTGCCTGCTTCACAAATGCAAGGTCCTGAGTTTGATCCCTAGTACCAAAATAAAAAAAAGAAAACAGTTTAACAAACAATTCTATTCTTCATTTTTATTTTCTCCAATTTATATATGAATGCATATTAGTTTTCAATATAGATTTTTAAATAAAGTTTAATCCAACTCAAAATTTGGTTTTAAATTTTCTTTATTTTCATCTTTTCTGACAAAAATATATCTGTTCCCAGAGATCACAGATGAAAACCAGGAAGATTCATACAGTAAAAGAAAGATGTCATGAAAAAGATGAACATCTCATTTGTCATCTGAACTTTGACACTTGTGACCTTAAAGGAAACACTATCAGTCTTTATGCCAAACATTAAGTGTGAACTAGAATAGTCCATTTTAAAAAGACACATGATCCCTCTACATGTATTTCATTAATTGCAAGTGTATGAACACTTTTCCTAAAGAACATTTCTTTTTTTTTTTTTTTCAATAAAAAATTTTCCTCAGTGTTGCTATGCATATACATTATGTGCTACTTGGATATAAAGACAGATGAGCATGGATTCCATTCCCAGTATGCTTAAGTAGTGTTGGCTAAGAAACAGAAGAGGAAAATGGTAAATATCAAAAACTGACAAATAAGTGTGTATGGGGTGAGGTAAGGAAAAGCAGAGTAGGAAGATATTACCAAGAAAATGTGCTAACTAGAATTTGACTGCCTAGGTCAACACTGGCTCCACTGTTAGATGCACTGGACAAATTACATCGAGATGCCTTCATTCCTCATCTGTAAAATGTGAATACCTGCCTCATTGGTGCTTTATTGCTTAGAACAGTCCCTGGCACATATTAAGTCTAAGTAAATATTAGCATTATTATTCTATAAAGGAAGAAATCACTTAAACAGATATCAGAGAAAGGTTCATTAAAAAAAAAAGACTAAACTGGCAGTAATGAGTTAAAAGGAATGAAGATGAAAGAAGGCAAAAAGGCCAGTAATAAAGTTGTTGCAGTTCTCTAAACAACAAAGGGTTGCATTGTGGTAGTAACGATAGGTACAGAAGAGTCTGACTGGAGAGCTGTTATAGAAAAATAATCAACAAAATTCAACAACAGAATAAATATGAAGATAAATGAAATAAATATGAAGATTAAATAATAAGAGAAGTGTCAACTATGGTGTTCAAATTCCCAGTCTGGGGCATAGAAAGCCTCTAATAGCATTAAAAAAAAATACAATCAACAGAGTAAGAAATATGAATTTGGTTCTAAACAGCACAGTCTTAAGTCATTATGAACTAATAATGATTGGAAGGCATTCAACAAACATTATTTATTGACTACATGCTTTGTGGTAAGAGTTTTAGTGAACAAAATCCCTGCTTCATGAAACTCACATTCTAGAAGATACAGACAAGCTATGTCAGTAGAATACAGTCTATTCTGGAAAGCCATTATAAGGAGTTGGCTTTTATTTATTGGGAAAGTCACTGGAGGGTTTTAAGGAAAGGAGTGGCATTACCTAACATTTTAGCTGACTGACCTGTTACTTGGCTGGAAAAAACAGCCACAAGCAGGAAAAGGAGTTGGAAGTTATTACAGTTATCCACAGCAATGATGGCAGTGACAAAGAGAATAAAAAAAAAGATGATGTCAGGGCCAGGGATTTAGCTCAAGGTCCTGAGTTCAATCTCCAGTACCAAAAAAAAAAAAAAAAAAAAG